TTCATGAAGTGTGTTTGAGGACAGCAAGTTGATCACTTGCCTGGATAGAGTTCCACGTAGGGAAAGAGCATTGACAATAAGTAAATACAGCTTCAAAATGAAATGAAACCTTTAGAAAACCTCGTAAGAAAGGCTATTCCTGAATTTGCTCTTGATCCAACTTAAAGATATCAAATAAAACTCAAACCGCAGCTGAACTTTAAAAAATAAATATTTTGTAATAGAAGAGTATTTCCTGGCATTAAGATACTTTCAAACACTAAAATCATTGCCAGAGATTTTCCAGCTTAAACTCAGTTGTTTAAATGCATTGGAAAGAGCTTTAGATAGCTTTTTATGTTTGGTTTAGACTTCTTTTGTGTTGTTTTTTTTTTAATGCCCATAAGGTCATTTCTTTTTTTTTTTTTTTTTAATGCCCATAGGTCATTTTTTTTTTAATTTATTTATTTATTTATGGCTGTGTTGGGTCTTCGTTTCTGTGTGAGGGCTTTCTCTAGTTGTGGCAAGCGGGGGCCACACTTCATCGCGGTGCGCGGGCCTCACTATCACAGCCTCTCTTGTTGCAGAGCACCGGCTCCAGACACGCAGGCTCAGTAATTGTGGCTCATGGGCCCAGTTGCTCCGCGGCATGTAGGATCTTCCCAGACCAGGGCTCAAACCTGTGTCCCCTGCATTGGCAGGCAGATCCTCAACCACTGCGCCACCAGGGAAGCCCCCTAGACATTTTTTTTTTCAAGGAAAACACAGAAAAGTGTAGCCATTGGTCCTGTGTACACAAAGAGCATAATTGTCATGTCTTTGTCTGCTAGATATCTGCATTTCATTCATTGTTTGCCCACAGCCAGTGAACCTTAGGGATAATTCTTTCTTGCCTTGGACCAAGAACAAAACTATAGATAAGTTCCACAAGTCAGACATCAAAGATTAATATAAAAACATTTTCCAATAAACTTATAATCATTGTTTTTATATCAATTTTTCTAGGAAAATATTGCAACTTTAATTGGACTTTTCAAATGTTATTATTTTCTGATCTTAAAAAGCAATACTGCAAAGGGCTTCCCTGGTGGCACAGTGGTTGAGAGTCCACCTGCCGATGCAGGGGTCACGGGTTCGTGTCCCGGTCCGGGAAGATCCCATATGCCGCGGAGCGGCTGGGCCTGTGAGCCATGGCCGCTGAGCCTGCGCGTCCGGAGCCTGTGCTCCGCAACAGGAGAGGCCACAACAGTGAGAGGCCCGCGTACTGCAAAAAAGAAAAAAAAAAAGCAATACTGCATAAAAATTGGAAGATTTATAAAGTACTCATGTGAAAGTATCAATAAAAACTTGAGATAACTTGCCATATTTTTGTATGTTTTATTGCAGTATTCTGTGCATTTCTACAGTCATTTGTTTCTTTAAACAGATTTCATATCTTACTAGTTTAATGGTAACACATACACATTTCATTTTTCTAAAATGATGCATAAATGTATGTTTAATAGTTATCTAATATTGCACTGATGTGCTATGAATTAATTTAATCATTCCTCTGTGGTTGGACATCTCAGCTGTTTCCTAAGTGTGTGTGTCTATTATGTATTTAAACCAAGAAGAAACATGTATGCACCAAAGGTAGGTTATATGATCTACTTATGCAATGTGCAAGCAGAAAATGGGTGACAGAAGGATTGTTCTTCCTTTCTTGTTTGTTTGTACCAGAATCCTCTATTGTTTACATACATTTTAGCCTCTGTGTCATTTTCAGAAGCTTTATTTTTCTCACTTACTTTTTGGTTTGGATAAGACTTAAATATAAAATCCATCTGCGAAGCATATTGTATATTCACATTGAAGGCTAAAAACCCATTTTTAATTAAAACTTTATTCAGCACTCGTGGTTCACTTTGTCCTGTTTTTATTATGAAACACTTCAGCCTTCTTCCTAAAACACATATGCCTTGTACATTTCAAGATGTTCCTTGTTACTCATGCAGAACTAGTTTCTTTATGCTGTCAGCTCATGCCATATGTCTGGCTGTTCATTTTGCTTCCCTTTCTGGTATTTGTGTGGGCAGCATCTTGTATGTAATGCAAGTTAGTTTTATTCCCATCTCTTTCACAAAACTTGTCAGAAGGTAAACTAGCAAACTGGAAACACCGCATATTCTCTGACATGTTAGGTTACACATGATGCTAAAGGATGTAGCCTTTCTTAAGTTCCTAATGTTTATAAGATATGAAAAGAAAATGTGGCCAGTGAGATCTGAAGTCTTGCCAGATGTGAATAATTACAATTAAGATACTACTGATGCTGCTTGGCTATAGCATACATTATATAAACTGCAATTCTTTAGTATTGATTTTTTAAGCCAAATGTGAAGATTGGGTGGAGGGGGCAGGAAGCATAAAAATCAGATTATTTTTCAGCCACACACCATCATGCTGTCATCTGAAAGTCTCTTTGCAGGATTGTCCACACCATATAAGTGGTTTTTGAGATGACTGGTGTTACACTTCAAAGTAGGTGTAGTCAGAGACGAACTAAGTTAAAAGCAATGATGTTTCAAGTTGAATCTGAATTGGAAAAGGGATTAGCTCTGATAGCATTAGAAAGTTCGCTTTGGGGCTTCCCTGGTGGCGCAGTGGTTGAGAGTCCGCCTGCCGATGCAGGGGACACAGGTTCGTGCCCCGGTCTGGGAAGATCCCACATGCCGCGGAGCGGCTGGGTCCGTGAGCCATGGCTGCTGAGCCTGCGCGTCCGGAGCCTGTGCTCCGCAACGGGAGAGGCCGCAGCAGTGAGAGGCCCGCAAAGAAAAAAAAAAAAAGAAAGTTCACTTTGCCTTTAAAGAAAACTATTAGTCAGGATAGGCTTTACATTCTCCGTAGTACAAAGTCCTCAAACTGAAAACCTCTACTGTTTGAATCCTAATGAGTGGTTTCTGAATATCTGAATTTTTCCAATCGTTCTGTTATACTTTAATTATAATATTCTTCTAACTATTGACTGGAACATCTTCTAAATTTTTCACATATTTCCTAACCTCCGTAAAACGAAGGATCCAGGGTATATTTCAATGCATTCTTGATGATTTTGGCTTACCAGTCTGAACATCAGTTATTGTATCAGGCAATGTAAATGCAGGGCTGTGAAGGTAGAGGAGAGCCATTTGTGCCAGCAATGACCGCCTCCACACTATTCTGACTCTTTTGTTTAGTTTTAGCAGTTATGCTGCTTTGGTGTTAGTCCTTCCCTTGTTGACACTTTGTCTCATTATTTCAGAATTTCTTTCCTCCTCAGATTTTCTGTTTATGATGTAGAGTGGGCTTGGGGACCAGGTTACCAGTTTGATATGATTGTATAAAACAAGAATGGAAATGTCCTGTTCGGGAGCTTTTAGGTACTGATCTTATGTCATCAACTTTGACTATTATGAGGAGTTGTTTGCTTCTTGCTCCATCCACACATGGATGAACTGCTGTGTCCAGAGTATAGGTGTTAGTGTGAATGTTAACAGCCTCTCCAAATCCAGTTGAATGTCTAAGGATAAAATTACTTTGGCCTAATGTTCTAATTTCACATAAATTTTAATATGAGAGAAGCGTAAGTGCATTTAGACTACACTGAGGTTCCTTTATATGATGATTTACTATATCATACGCCTTCCACCCTCAGATGGATTAGAATTCATGTTTTTAACTATGGTAGCACAGAACCTATGATGCAAGATTTATCGAGTCCTAAGGAGAAAGGGACAGACAGGTGGGTTACACTTCAACAAGGAAATACTATAGTAAGTATAAACAAGTCCAATTGTGAACTCTAGAGGCTAAAGGAAGAGTTAAGAGAGAGGTGGGGGTTGATGGGTGGGTAAAGGGACAAGAGAAAATGCTCCTTTCTTGTCTCAAGGAACAAGATAAGTAACTCAGTGCTACAAATACTAGAGTTGCATTCATTAAACATTTTTAAATGCTCTTACTACTCTATCTTGGAAAGCCAGAAAATATTCAGGTACAGAGTACTCTGGGAACAAAGGGAAGGTGTCATTAATTCTGCTACAGGAAGAGGGGGTCCAGGAAATTTTTACAGACATTTTCTGTGGACCCTAACGGATGCATGGGATCTTGGGAGGCAGAGATGTGCAAAAGGACAGTGTAGGCAAAGGGAACAGCTAGGACAAAGAGGAAGTCGGATAACAGAGATGACATTGTCTCTTTTGCCACAATGAGCTCTTGTATCTTATAGCAGAGGACAAGGAACAGTGTAATGTAGTAAGTAAGAGCCCTGGCTTAGTTAAATCAGCCTAGTTTGGAGTCCTATCAGTATCATGCACCAACTGTGTGAGTTGGCGGCAAGGTGCTGAATCATTCTGTGCCTCCACGCCTCACTTCCTCATCAGGAGAAGAGAAAATGAACCTATCCCCAGGGCTACCATGTTGTACAACTGCGGGTGGCATCATTCACATTGTACCCAGAGGCCCTACCTGTCTCAGGTGGGTAGGGGAATTAAACAAGACAATACATATATAACATTTAGCATGGTAGCTGCACATAGTCAATGCTCAATAAACATTTGCTACTGTTAATCAGGCAGCTAGAATTTTAAAGAATGAATGCATCTGAAATCCCTTTTTTTATAAGGGTATATATATATCTGTGTATATCCTTGTTAATCAATCTATGTGTTCCTGAGATTATTTTAAATACAATGCAAGATTTACTTTGCTTAATTTACTGGGCTTTAAAATGTATTGTGAAAGAAGCAACCAAAGACCAAAGCAAAACAAAACCCAAAACATTAAATCCCTCTAAGAGGTTTTGAATGAACAATTTTTTTTTGTCTTCAGTCTTGGTTCATTTGATTCATGCCAAATGCATGAACATCTCAACTATATTGATTTTTATTAATAAAACCTATAATCTGTGACTATCCAGTGTTTCCACTGGGGACTTTTTCTAGTGCAATTTTGTGACCCTGAAGTTTAAAGAGGTTTATTTTTTCTTCCTTCTTTCTATCCAGGAGCAAGGCTGTTTAGAATGTTGATTAGAACATTCAGAAAATGGGACAGCCGTGAATTTGCCTGAAGATTCAGAAACATGGCTTGGCTGGGGGACGATGATTATTACCAGACTTCAAATGTCAGCAAACACTTCAGGGTTGCAGGAGAGAAAATAAAACACATTAAGGTTTAATGGATTTTGCTATGGGGCGTCTTTGGGGCAGCCAGGATGGAATTATTTGCTGAACACATGATGGTCTTTTTGTTACTTGGAGCCTGTTAACACTATCTTATAGAATAGAAAACAGCCATTAGCTACTCACCAGTACATGTGTGGAGAATCCAGAGTTAGGGGCTGCCTTCCGGGATCTAGTCAGCATAGTTTGGGATTATAGTGAGTACCATAGTAGGTAAAGTCAAAGGAGCTGGGTTAGTCATTTGGACCTCTGTCGCAGGTGAGGTTCATGCTCTGAGACTGGAGTTTAATGTGCAGGGTGTTTATGAGGGAGTGCCCTGGAGCCATACCAGTGGAAGGGAGGGTTGGTTGAGCTGCGATGTAGACCAGATAGCAGCCTTGGCCAACCCCACCGCAGGGCTCTGGAACAAAATGACCCATCAGAGTTGTCTCACGTTAGGCTGACATGGCTGAAACATCTGAAACTTGTTTCATGGCTGAAACATCTGCCCGGGTGGGACCCCGGGCAAGGTGGCTGTGCAGCTGAGGCCATCCCTGCTGGGGCTGCCTGCCCCCAGAACTGCTAGCAGCTGGGCAACAAGCCCTGTCCTTGTCTCCCCCCTCCACCTCCACGTTCTGTTATAACATATGTGAACCAACTAGTTCCTGGAAGCCTAACTGGACAAAGAGAGGTTCCACCCCCCTCCCTTTCCCAGTTTCCCTCACAAAATAAAGTCTCAAGTAACTCACAGTCCTAAAATTATTTTACACCGCTAGGCAGTACTATCACCCCCAACACAGAAGCACAGATCTAATACTAGTTCTATGAGGTAGGTTACATTTTTCCCAAGCAAGAATTTTAAGGAAGTTTTAAGCCCCGATCTCTTCACCAAGCTCCAGATCCATAGATACAAAAAGTTCTTTGGCAATTCCGGTGGGCTATCCTGCAGATACCTCAACGTCAGTGTGCTCAAATCTAAACCCATCATTTTACTATACTTGCTTTAGGATATCCATCCACCAACCCTTATTATTTTAATTGTGGTAAAATATATAACATAATTTTAACCATTTGTACGTGTACCATTCAGTGGCATTATGTACATTCATATACTGTGTGTGCCCATCACCACTATCTATGCCGACTTTTTCATCATCCCCAACATAAACTCTGTACCCATTAAACGATATCTTCCCATTCCTGCCTCTCCCCCAACCCTGTAACCTCTATTCTATGTGGTGTCTCTGTGAATTTGCTTATTCTGTGTACCTCATTAAGTGGAATCATACAACATTTGTCCTTCTGTGTCTGGCTTATGTCAGACACAAGTATACCAAGTATAATGTTTTCAAGGCCCATCCAGGTTATAGCATACATCAAAATGTCATACTTTTTATGGCTGAATAGTGTTTTAGGGTATGTGTACACCACATTTTGTTTGTCCATTCATCTGTCGATGGACTTTTCCTTATTTCTTTTCAGTGATACTTCAATAACCTCCCTTAGCAGCCTCTGACCCTTTAAGTTATTCTATTTCTGTGGCCATAATGCTCTTTCTAAAACAAATAATAAGATGCTCCTTGGATCTATTCATTGCTTTTACTAGCCCTCCCTGACCCTATCCCATTCTTGGCTACACCACGTGCCCAATTCATAGTGACATTCTGTGTCCTCAGGATCACATCTACCTATCTCTCTGAGCTGATCTGCTTTATTCTCTTACATGCCAGATGCTTCAGTCACACCATGTACCTCAGTCTACCCCAAATACGCCATGCCCTTTGCCCTCCTTGTCTTGCTTTGTGCTGTGTCTTCTGCTTGAAATAGAATCTATTCCATTTCTCCACACGGAAATCTCTATTCACCCTTCAAAATCCAAGTTCAGTGTCATGTCTGTGAAGCCCCCCCCACCCTACCAGGCAATTGGTTGCTCCTTTCTCTGTTTTCCCAAAGTACTTGGTTCCTGCCTCTAATCTCAGTCCTTACTGCAATGGACTGCAATAACTTACTTGCTTGTCTGCCTTTTTTATTAGATTGACCTCTGTTGGGGCTGTAGATGTTTTGCACATTTATTTCACGCACCCAGAACCTAGAGTGGCGTTTCCAAAGAATGCTGCCTACGTGAGTAGTGCAGGGGCAGAGGCTGAAGGTGGAGACGGAATTCTGGTTTCAAGGACCAACGCAGCTACTGAGCGGCAGGCCTCGGCCACATCACTTCGCCTCTCTGAGTTGTTTCTTCAGTTGTCGATAGTTCAACATCCTAGAGTGGGATTGAGGGCTAAATGAGACGATTGAAATGAAAGTGCTCTTTACAAAATTGTTATGAGGGTTTTTAAAATGACCTATTTTATTAGTCTTCGTGTACTTCCCATCCCAGATAAATGTGAACTTCTGCAGGGTGTTCCCAGTTTTGCGAATTATTTGCTTAAGAATAAATCACAGCTAGTGGGGGTGTAATTTTAGAGTAAACTGTTCATTTAACATTGTTTGTTTCGTGGTATAAATGGTGGAAACTCAGGGATGCAAAGCTTAGGCAGCAAAAGAACTTTCTTATCGGCGGTGTCACCTGACGGTGGGCACTCTGTCTCTGGGAGCAGTCAGTTTCTCTTCATTGGAGGCGGGCAAGCAGAGGCGGGCTAACCTTGCCTGTCAGGGAAGCTGTCAGAGATATTCTGACCTGGACTGAGGTGGGAAAGAGGCTAAACTAGCTGACTCCTGAGGGTCCTTCCCATTCTGGACGTATATTATCCTAAACTTTACATACAAACTATCCTGAGAGATGGACCAAGGATTTTGTATTCTATTCTGGGGAAGATATAATGGCGTTTTGTTTTGTTCTGTTTTGTTTTTTTGCGGTACGCGGGCCTCTCACTGTTGTGGCCTCTCCCGCTGCGGAGCACAGGCTCCGGACGCGCAGGCTCAGCGGCCATGGCTCACGGGCCCAGCCGCTCCGCGGCATGTGAGATCTTCCCGGACCGGGGCACGAACCCGTGTCCCCTGCATCGGCAGGCGGACTCTCAACCACTGCGCCACCAGGGAAGCCCATAATGGTGTTTTTTTTTCCTTTTCTCTTTAAGTGAAAGTTGTAGAGTTTATGTGAGATCACAGTAAAAAAAATCTGACATTTCTACTTTGTGAATCCTGGCTAAAGCTGAGTTTGATCTTGAAATATGAAAGTAAACTGTAACGACCTCACTTAAGGTCTCTAGGATTTATATCTATATCAGCTTTTAAAGTTCTCCCAACTTTTCACCCTGGAGAAAAGAAGAAATTGCAGTCATCTTACTCAGGGCTGGAAGTCTAGAGACACTTAGGTTGACGGAAAGCTGACCCTGTTTTGCCTGGGCTTCTGGCAGGCTCCACCCCTTCTAAGTGATGTGAACTCTCACACGCGGCGACATAGTTACTAGTCTCACGCATTAAGCTGAGTGCTTTGGGGATCTAAGCTCAATTGCAAGTCACTTGAAGAAACATTTCTTCATGGTATCTTTAACACCTGTGTGTTTTTAAACATCGTCCCTTCACGGTCCAAAGCTCCTTCTTAATGTTATTATTGCTCATGACAAACCCATGTCGAGTCTCTGAAAACTGCTTTTCAGTTTTTCTCTTTGTGCTGTTTCCACTCAAGTGTGCCAGCTCGTGACTTGCTTTCCCTGTACCCGCTCCACGGCCGCTCACCCCTCTGCCCCCTGCCCCGAGGAGACCCCTGTGAAACTGAATGAGAAGCACACAATGTCAGCATTAGAGGGCTCCCAAGATTTCATCTCAACTAATTCAAACCCTTGCACCTCCCTTATTAAGGACAAAGAAGCTGAGGTATGGGGCATCCCAAAGCAAGTAGCAAAATTAAGCCAGGACGTGAGGGCCTTCTAGTCCCTAAAGACTCTCTTAGTTTGGTCTCCCCCGGAAGTAGTACATGAAACCAAGTGCAAGTAGTTTATTTAGGAGGTGATCCCAGGAAACACAGCAGGGGAGTGGGGAAATGGGACAGGGAAGGGAAGGCAGCTTTTTGGGATGTGGTAATGAGCACGTTAACTCTGTGGGCACCTGGGACTCAATCCCCCTGAGAACCTCTGGAGATGGTTTAAAACAAGCCTCAGAGTTGTCCCACTGGAGGGGCAAAGAACTAGTGGTTCCACAGTTACCCACCAACTCTTGTTTGTCCTTGGTTGAAGCCTGCTCCCAGGTTCTTAATTCCCCAGCACTTCCAGCCTGTTCTATGCAGGGCGTCAAGCATTTTTCTGCAGCTGGGAAAGCCCTCAGCAGAGTTGCAGGGTCTTTCAATGGAAGTCACCCAGCAAACATGCCTAAGGGGATATGCGTGGGGCAATGACACCCTCTGCTACACCGGCCAACTGTTCATTCTCTCCTGTCCCCGGTCAATAAACTTTGACTGCTTTAGAGGTGAGAGGCTGAAACAAAACATGATTTATAAGGAGAAATGAAATGTTCAGGTTGGTGTTTGCAAATGAGTAAATATTATCCCTATTTTACAGAACCCAGCGTGCACTTTTGCATGTTACCCACTTTGCACATGCTGTCCCTCTACCTTGTATGACCTCCTAGAAAACTCCTATTCATCCTACAAACTCCAGCTCCAATAAGAACTTTCTGTTATATCCTTTCCTGATTGCTCAGGAAGAATTAATTGCTCTCCCACTTTGCTCTGACAGCATGTCGTGCCAGCTCTAACATGACTGTGCAGTGCCCATCTCACCTACTACTAATAGTGGTAATAATAGCTAATGTTTATTGACTTTAATTTTGTTCCAGGCACTGTTTTAAATAATTTATGTGAATTAACTCATTTAATCCTTTCAACAACTCTATGAAATAGCTACAGTCACCATCTCCATTTTGTAGAACAGAAACTAGAACAGAGATTAGCAACTTTCCCAGTATCATGTAGTTAGCAAGTGGCATAGCTGGGATTTGATTCCAGAGGGTCAGGCTTCCAGGTCCCTGCTCTTACCTACTGCACAGAATAAGCTCTCTTTCACTGGAATAGAGAAGAGGGACCAAGGACTGAACCCTGGGGGTACTTCTGGCAGTTTTGGTAGGGCCTCAGGCCAGGCTAGGAAACATTGTCTACAGAGAATCTTAAACAGGTAGGTGACACAAGATTTGCGTTTTACAAAGATCACTCTCACTGCTGTGCATAGGGTGAATTGGAGGAGGAGAGATTGAGAACAGAGATAACAGTGTTTTGACTGGTGCAATAATCCAGGGAAGAGATGATGAAGTCCCAGGTTTAGCAGGGACCTTGCTCCCCGGACTAATCCCCACTGACCTCCCCAGCCACTCCCCAACATGGCAGGGCTACTACTACTGCACCTGGCCAAGGGCCAAGCGGGGGCAGAACTGCAGCCTGGGCTCTGGCTACCACCATGAGCCCTGGTGAGGAGTCACAGATGCAAAAAGGAAGGGTGGTGCCTTTTGCTCGCTTGCAGAGAAGCCATGTGGACTAGCAGTGGCCCTGCCCAGCCTTCCCTCCAATCCAGACATTTTAAACAACTTTCTGTTTCCTACTTATGTCATGATTTTCCCCACCTCTGTTTTGAATATTTGATTTCCTCTGCTAAGGATGCTTTCACTCATTCATTAATCCATTCTTTCACTTATTCACAACACATTTTTTAGCACCCAACATGGGCCAGGCACCTTTCTAGGTGATGGGGACTTTACAGTCTAGGGGATGAGATAAATGTTAATCTAATAATTATACAAATATGTCACTCTTTGAAGGTAAAGTCAGGGGACCATGAGACCATATGTTGGGTGCTGGAGACTTATCCACTCTGGGATGCAGGTGGCCAAGGTAAGGTCGTAACTGGGATGACATAGCTTCCCTTTGCAGAGACATGATGTTTATGCTGAGATGTGAGGAATGAGTAGGAATTAACCAGGCAAAGAGGGTAGGGAAGGAGAGTGGCCACCCTCCCTGAAGTCCTCCTGTGTTTAACAGCGTGCTCATGAATCCTTGGGTTGAAGCAGATAGGTCTGGAGCCCAGAGGAGACTCAGCATAACAAAGGGAGGGGGAACCGAGGGGGAGGCACCGGACAGAGAAAGGAGCAGAGGGGCTCAATGAGAGCAGCTGCAGGGAGAGGGGGCTGGGGACCACGCGAGGAGCGGGAGGCTGGACGCTGTGAGACCCGTGGGAAGTTCTCAGAGCAGCTGCTGAGGAGCTCTGGGAAATAGGGGTGTTCAATATTGCATCTTAACTTGTGCTTCTGTGGTTTACAATTCTTCCCCTCCCCGGACCTTCAGAATAATCGGTTGCACACAAATGCCTTATGTAGGGTTTCCCTGGTGGCTCAGTGGTTGAGAGTCCGCCTGCCACTGCAGGGGACGCGGGTTCGTGTCCCGGTCCGTGAAGATCCCACATGCCGCGGAACGGCTGGGCCCGTGAGCCATGATGTAGATGGTTTGGGGGAAATAGCTGAGTTCGCATTAAGGGTCACTGGGAAACAGTGAGGACTGCACAGCCATGTGGGGTGACACAGAGCAAGAAAAGGTCAGTGGAGAAATGTGGAGGGGACAGCAGCAATAGGAGGTATGCATAGACTCAGATGTATTTAAACCGTCAAAACAAGAATTTTATTTGTATTCAATTATGATGAGTGATTAGCATAAAATGATGATCCAAGGCAGCATTAAAGAGGGTCCCATGAGAATAGGGACAGCCTAGACAGGAAGATAGAAAAAGGAAGGGACAATCTCACGGATGACTTTGGCAATGGGACGAAGCTGTGGTTTATGTTCTAGACATCTGAGACTCAGCGTGTAAACTCCGACTGAAGGAGATTCCTCCCCACCACTGGTTTCCAAGCTCACCACCCAGCCAGCTGTAATGCAAAGCCTACCAGGACTTTGGAGAATTACCAATTCAACGTTTACTGTTACCAAGGCAACACCTGTTACTTTCTGGGTACAAAGTCACTTGGGATGCGGTCCTTGGTCCCTGCCCCTTGGAGTGCTCAGTCTGGTTCTGGAGGCAAACCTCACAGCGCAGTGATCGGTGCTGCCGCAGAAGCAGGTCCAGAGGCTGTGTGAGCAGGAATGGGACTTTGATCCAGTTGTGGGTATCGGGCAGCTTCCTGGAGGAGGGACACCCAGGCAAGGTCATGGTGTTTTCCAGAGTAGCCAGATGCCTGGCAGGCAGAGGGAGGGGGCACAGGTGCAGCTGTGGGGCCTCCTAGGCTGACCGTGCTGCCCCTCTGCAGGGCTTGCTCATAGCACCCAGCAGCCCGTCTTGATTCCTCTTGTCTCCAACAAGTCACATCTTTCCAGCTGGCCTCTAAGTTCCTCGAGGCCTGGAGACTTGATGCCTGTTTGGATGTGAGGGTAGGAAGAGGCAGATTTGAGTGGTGTCAAGGAGAGCTCCCTGCCCAAATGCCATCTGCCACCATGTTTACCCTCCACCCTGGTCCCTGGTCCCTCACTCCTTCGGGTCTGACAGCCACCAGTGCAGAGCCACCAGTGAAAGTATAAGGCCTTGCTGGGGAGATTCTCGCTGGAAATAGGTGATCGGGGGTTGGGAGCCAGAGAGTAAAGGAGGGAGAAAGGGGACAAGGAAGGGAAATGGGTGAGCAAAGATGCATGAGGATTTTTGCAACTTTCTTGCCACTCTTTTTCTTGTATCTTCCACTTTTTTGACCTCATGACACATGTAGAGTAAAAGCTCCTGGACAGACTCACCAGAGGACAGAAATAGTGTTTTTGAGGTAGGAGTGAAAGGTACTGTAGTGGAGAAGAGTTGGAGTCAGGCGACCCAGTGCGAGTCCTACTGTGTGGCCTGAGCAGACCCAGCGCCCTCTCTGCGCCTCCTGGCTCCACCCTTCAGTGTACTGGCTGGATGGGGTGCTCTTTGGGGGTTCCTGCAGTCTCAGCCTCTGAGGGCTCAGTGTGGACAGTGAGGTGGGAAGGGAGCCTGTCTCCGGCCGGCCAGGCGTGGCTGTGTTTAACCTGCCTTGGGTGATACCAGGCCTGCTGAGTCACGCAAAATAGCCCCAGAGGAAGATGTTGACGGCCAGCAGGAGGACGGCGTTGATGTTGCAGACGCTTCTCCAGAGCGGCTCCTCCTCGATGCTGGTCAGTTTCTGCTCCAGCGCGGCCTTCTCTGCAGGGCTCAGTGCTTGCTCCGGGGCCCACGACAGCCCGCAGAGCCAGCCCCAGAGCAGCTGTCCCCAGGACCTGCGTGGGGCTGAGGGACAGAAGTCAGAGGGCAGGAAGGCAGGGGGGCGGCAGGGCGAGCTTGGAGAAAGGAGATGATGAGAGAGCAGGGCCGGGACAGAGATGGTGAAAAACCCAAGAAAGGAATGAGGCACACGGAAGGGGGCAGAGGAAGGGGGAGCAGTCAGCTTAGCCCGGGTGCAAGCCGCAGGCTGGGCGCTGAGCTGGGGCGCCATGCTGAACCCCCAAACCGTCATCTAGCGGAAGCATCCCCGTGTTGCAGGGAGAGGGGTGTTAAGGGGCGAGGATAACGAACACAGTTCAACCCAGTTCGGAGCGCGTGCCCCGCCTGAGGACCGAGCGGCTCAGCGTGAGGAAGCGCACTTCACAGTGATATAAACCAAATCCTTGTGCTTTACCAGTAATGAGGGCAATATTTCAGCTCTCATCTGCCTTACTCGTTTAATAGCCATCTGGGAAGGGAGGAGGGGTGATATTTAGGGGACTCCCTTAGAGACCCCATCCCCAGTGACCCCCCAGATGGGGTCTTTGGGACCCATGACCTGGTGTCCGCCCCCACTGCTCCCCCCATGTACCCTCAGCCTACCTGCAGGCTGTTCCTGGCCGTGCCTGGGGTTCTCTGTCCCTCCGGCCCCTGTAGGACCCTCCCCAGATGGCACGTCCGCTGTCCCTGCTGTGCTCTCCCGCGCCTCCCTCTTCAGCTCAGAGTGAGGGCCGTGCCGTGTCCACCACGTCAGGCGAGCGAGCTGGAGGAGAGCAAACAGCCTTGGCTCAGGACCTTTGGAAGGAAGTCGGGCTGTAGAAAGAGAGGACACCCCTTCCTGGGAGGCCGGCAGAGCAGCGAGGAGAACAAGGAAGGAGCACAGGGCTGGAGGACGAGGCCTGCCTCTGAGGCCCGACTGCCCCGTCCTTGGAAAATCTGAATTCCCTGCACCTGTTCCATACAGGGCTCGTGCCGGGGGCCGAAAACACCGCGGGTCAGGCTGGGCCCCTGACCTCCTGCAGCTCACGGGCAGGGAGAAGCAAGGCCGGACACAGGGAGGCAGGCGGCCCACAGCAGCAGCTCCCGAGGTCAGGCTGAGAAGCTGAGACTACTTGAAGCTACTAGGCCGTGGAGAGTCACCGCACGCAGGAAGCAGAGGGAAGAGGCTCAGTTCTGGGCTTTAGGAAGATCTCTCGGAGTGAACTGATGAGATCCAGCCTGGAGACAGTTGCAAAAGTGGAACCAGAAAAAATGAGCATTTGAGGTCACGGGGTGGGGGGCAGCCCCAAGGTTGAGGAGTGAGATCTGCAGGCCGTGGTGACTGACTGGAAGCAGCCACCGTGGCTCTCAGGGCTGCCCTGGACCTTCAGATGGGTAGCGGGGCCCCTCATGGAGCTCGAGCCGGCAGGAGGACGACTGGGCTTGGTGATGGCGGGAGTGAGAGAGAGAGAGAGAGAAAGCCTGGGGGCGGGGGCGTGGTCATTCACACACACACACACACACACACACACACAGCAGGAGCTTGAAGAGCCCGGAGGGCCTCACAGCGGAGACGTCCACGGATCCCTACGGAACAATGATATTTAAGGGGCAGGAAGAAAATCCCATGAAGATGACAGAGGAGCAGCCAGAAGGGTAGAAAAATATACAGTGAGCAGAAGAGAGGTCTCCAAGACGCAGGATGTGGGCAGTAGTGTCTGGTTCTCTTCAGAGTTCGCTTGAGATGAAGATGGAGAAGTGACCAGTAACAAGGTTGTTGGGAATGTTGGTGTGAGCAATGCCGGAGGGCACTGGGACACCAGGCCGACTCAGCGGGTTAAGGAGTAGATGAGGGGGAAGTGGAGGCTGGCGATGGACACCACTCTTCACAAAGTTTGCTGCTGAGGGTCAGAGAGGGAGACAATTGTACCTGGAGGAGAACGGGAGCCAGGGAGGGGATTTTTAACTGGGAAGGACTTCAGTGTGGGAATGAGACAGCAGACAATGGGGACGCTGAAGGATCAAGCGGTGGGGGGAGACCATTTCAGGGGTGAGCCCCTGGGGAAGTCAGTCTCTTGGTTTACCTGTGAATACACTGCTTGTTTGTAGGAATTCGTGACACTAAGGGTATAGGTCATTTTGCGAACTCTAAAGGTAAGGAGTGTTATTAATTATTTCCACCCAGTGTTCCAAGGACCAACTTCTGGCATGGGCTCTCTTACGGGCTGAATACTGTTCCCCCCAATTTCATATGTTGAAATCCTACCCACCCCCCACTTCAGAGTGTAACTGTATTTGGAGAGAGGGTCTTTAAAGAGGTGATTAAGGTTAAATGAGGTCTGATGAGTGGGCCCTAAGGACACCAATATGACTGGTGCCCTTAGAAGAGGAGATTTGGACACAGACAGGCACAGGGGAAAGACCACGTGAAGACAGAGAGAAGATGGCCATCTATGAGCTAAGGAGAGAGGCCTCAGAGGAAGCAACCTGACCAACCCCTTGACTCCTGGCCTCCAGACCTGCGAGGAAATAAATTCCTGTCATTTAAGCCACTCACCCTGTTGTACTTTGTTATGGCAGCCTGAGCAAAGTAATACCCTTCTGCTCTAAAGAAAAAAGCTTTCAAAAGACTGAGCATCAGTGTCTGAGGACTGGTAAATCCATCAGCGTGGGAGCGGTGAGGGCCTCAAATCGAGCTCTTACTCTGCTAGACTGTTTCTTTTCTCATAAACCTGTTTCTTCAAGGTCCAACTCAAGTGACATTGTCGGGGAGCCTCCCCCTCCCCCCAGGGGTGACTACCTCTCCTCTGCCCTCGGCTGCACCCTTTGAGCTTGGGCCTTCTGTACCTTCTCTTGGGAGAGTAACTGCTGGTGTTGGGGTCTTCCTCCCCGCCCCCCCCCACCCCTGCTCCCCACGGGCAGCTGCTGGCAGGGACCATTCATCTTTGTAAGCCCAGTACAGTGCCTGGCACAGAGTAGGTGCCCGCTGAGTCATTTTCCAATTGAATGAATTACTTTTCACTTGGGAATTAACAGCCCAAGGAGCTCACCGTCCCCAGCCATCTGTGATCTCAACTCAGCGGAGTAAGAGTCGATGGTGGAAGTCCAGGCACTGTGGGTAGGGGAACACTTGGGGGCGGGCCTCGTTCTGAACACTCCACTTGCCTTTTCCTCAGGGATGGGGGCTGTGCAGAGGCTGACAGTGACGATGACGATGGCCGTGAGCCCACAGAGGAGGAGTGCAAAGTAGAGGTAGTGGAAGTCTTTCAGCACGGCCGGCCTCGGGTCTGCCTCCCCACAGGCTGGGGCTGGGTACGAGAACTCCAGGGTCATGCGCAGAAGCCCCACTGCCAGGCCAAATATGAGGCCCCAAAAGGCTCCCTGCGGAGAGAGGGCAGTCCAGGGGTGGGATCCAGCGGGGAAACCCCAGGAAGCTAAAAGCCACGGTTTGGTTTGTCACCGCGTTTGCAAGTCTGCCTGAGTAAGTTCCCCATGAATGCCGAGGCTTTGTCTTAACCTAAAGGCAGGCAGAGCGGTTTATTGGAAAAGGCACGGGTTCCAGAGTCAGGCTAGGCTCCACTGCAGAACAATGACTGAAGCAGTGACTCGACCTCACTCACATGCAATGATAAGCAAATTAATAAGTACTTAGGGTAGGTGCTGAATATTCAACTAGAATGGAATTTGCTTTTATAATCAGCAGGGAAAGCCAGGATCTTCCTCCCCAGCTTTCTGTTATGATAAACCAGAAATCAGAATTAGAACGCCTCCTTTTTTATTTTTAAAGAAAAGCTCTGGCACGTCCTATATCTTCTCTGTAGCACTGTTGGACCCTAACCTCTACCTGTTCCCCAAGTATAAGAAGGCTTATATTTTCAAAAATTCTGGAATGAATAGAATCCTCCAGAATTCAACCGAGTCCTGCCGTGCAGTCTAGTTATCAGCAGGGGCACTCGAGCTCTGCAAACAGTAGACCCAGCAGAGGCCTGGCTTAACTACTCCATTGGGGAGGGGCTTCTATGATCTCCCTTACGATGACCCTGGGCTCTCACGTGGCCCCTGTACAATCACGTCCATGATGCTCCTTACCTCCCCAAGGTACAGCCAGCAATTTGGGCCTGTCTTTTCTAGGCTAACCTGGGGAGTGACCAAGGTTACCCTCCTGGTACCTCCCAGGGTCTGTTACATTTCCGTGCAGTTTCATAAGTGGCACATGTGCAGGCACCCCTGTAAGCTCACACCTTGTTTCATCATCATCTTTGCTGTTATTTTGCCGACATGTAGAGCCCTGCTGTGTTAGAGAGCTTCCCGTCTGCTTGGGCTTTTACACACACTGTTCCTCATGTCGGGAAGACTCTTTCCTCTCCCATTAATCATTCAGATCTCAGCTCACAAGTCCCTTTGTGACCCCCCCCCCTCCCAGGCGTCCCATAGGTTATGTGTTCCTGCTCTTTGCTCTCATGGCAGCTATCATACTTTGCTCTTATTGCATATCGAAACCTCTTTCCTCCCGCTGGCCCAGTGATGGCAGACCTATGTGAACTTTGTAAACCATTGCATCCCTGGAGCCTCCCTAGTGGGATTGATTAATGTTTGCTGAGTGAATGAATAAATCTAGACCTGATGCTATGGGTGGGGAGACGGAAGCCTGGAGGGGGCAAGTCCAGGTTATGGACAGACTAGCTCTCCTGACCCTCTGGTGTTCTGGGAGAGACAGATGCACTGCTGCACTCACAGGCTCTGTGACCCTCTTGCAGAAGATGGCCAGCAGGAAGAGGGCAGTGATGGGTGGGGCCAGGTAGCTTGTGACAGACTGGATGTAGTCGAAGAGCTGCCCGCTGTTGGAGCTTTGGATGATGGGGACCCAGAGGATGCTGATGACGACGAGGAACACCACAAACACTCTGCCAGGAGAGAACAGGGCACTGTGAAGAGCGCTCAGAGCGGCATGGCAGGGGGGCAGGTGAAGGTGATGTACGGGAACCAGGAAGGGAGAAAGGAGGGGAACGTGTGGTTGCTGAATCAGAGAAGACAGGATCACAAATGCAAAGATTCCAGAAAGTTAGACTCTTAAAATCCCAGAATATCAGAATTACAGAATCCAGAAAACCCAAAATTTTAAAAATCCCTTTGAAAGTGTGTAGCCCATCTGCTTTCGGAAAGAAATCCATTCATTTCCCCTTCGCCACCCACCTGAGTAAATGGCCCCTGGTTGAAAAACTTTTCTTGGGTGTGTTAGGTGCAATGATGCATATTGCCAGGAGATGGTGCCCAAACCTCACTGACTGATGCAATCAGGTGCAGTAAGACTTGGCAGGTGAGCAAAGAGATAAAAGGATTCTGCACACCTGTCCTCTTCTCTCCTTTCCCTCCCATTTTCTCTCTCTCAGGCCACACTAGAGCAGCAGCTAAACTGCAGGAGCTACCTGCCGTTCACTCCCCTCTTAGCCCCCACCTCTTTGTACAATCTGTCCTGCGCTCAGATCCTTTGATGGTCAGTCCCTGTGCATAGGGCTGGGATGCACAGATGAGCGGGCCGTAGGGATCCATGGCAGCCGTGGGCAGAAGGCATTGTGATGCAAGGAACAGTGAATGCAAAGGCAGGGAGATGGAAAAGAGCAAGTTATCTAAACTCAAGTAGAGAATGAACACTTTAGTCCAGAAACCTGAGTTACAGAGCCTTAAATTATGAAGCAAAGATTTCAGAAAGGGCCTCTTAACTTTGTGCAAACTATAAATGCCCAACCCAGGGAGAAAAAGAAAAAATAGCCACCAAGTTATATTTTGAAAGGCATGAAATGAATACCTATGAGGTAAAGTTCAAAATTTTCAGCTGAGTGTTCAAAGCCCTGCATCCTTTGGAGACAACCTTCCTATGAACACCTCCATCGATGTGGGCCCCTCACTGCATTACATGTTTCTGATTTTCTCATTAAACTGTGTGCACCCTCAGGGCAGGACCATATAAGTCCATATAAGTCGCCCCTGTGTCAGCAGCACAAAGGTATGATGCAGGACGCGTGCTCGGGGTGAGACTGAAGGAGTCTTTCTGTTATCCGGGGATGACATCAAGAGCTGGTCTGGAAGACATTGGGGATGAGCTGCTTGCTAACTTCTTTCCATCTATACAGTTCCTCTTTCACTGAGTCAATGCTTTGTCAGCTTCTCTCATTTACCCTCTTGATCAGTTCCAAGATAAAATTGAACAGGCAGGGAAGAGATTTTTTTTCTCCTTATTCTGGAGGGAGGGGAGTGGTCCAGAGCTGGGGAGGAACTCACCTGAGGTCCTGTAGAAAGTTGGCGCAAGGAACCAGGGGCTCTGACTGCCAGTGCAGGGCCCAGACCCAACCGCATCTCCTTCGGGTAACCAAGGGCAGGGAGGAGAGGGGAGAGGGGTTTTGCCTACAGGGAGGGGGTGCTCCGGAAGGATGGGCCAGCGCACCTGCCCACCACCATCAGCTCCTGCTCTGTTGCCTGTCTGCGGAAGTGCTGCCACACGTCAATGGCAAACAGGGTACTGCTGCTGTTGAAGATGGAGGTGAGTGAGCTCATGAGGGCGGCCATGATCACTGCGATCATCAGGCCCCGCAGACCTGGGGAGAGATGAGGTCTCTGTGGGCAGCTGGCCCGTTAAGGCCAGCTCTGCCAGCAACCATGGAGGCTGCCAGCATCCAGCAGAATCACGAGTTTAGGGGAGGGAAAGGGATGGGGACGGTGTTGAATGAGGTGCCCAACCAGGAATCCTGGAGACCCATAGCACTAGAGGCCGGGTTCTGGTCACACTCTACCTCTGCCTCCCCCTGTGGCCTTGGCTGAGTCATCCGTCCTCCCTGAGCCTCCGTTCCCTCATCTGCACTATTAAGGGATGTGAGACTAGCTGATCTTTAAGGTTCTCTGCAGACTGGACATCTCGGTCTGGGTTTTAAACCTTGTAGACACTTGGTTAGTGGGCCCTGGTAGGGAGGAGGGTGACTATTAATTATTGAGTGGTTTTTTTCAGCGTTTTGAACCTTTTTCAATGATGCTATGAGACCAGGCTAAAGCCCCAGCTTGGGAGGCAGAATCCCTGGAACTTTTTGAAGGTTTTATTTTAATTAATTAATTATTTATTTTAATTTTTAATACAAATTTTAAAGGTTACTTTCCATTTTCAGTTACTACAACACGTTGGCCATATTCCCCGTTTTCTACAGTACATCTCTGAGCCTGTCTTACACCCAATAATTTGTGCCTCTCGGTCCCCCACCCCAATGTCCTCCCCCTCCAGGAACCACTAGTTCCTTCCCTATATCTGAGTCTGCTTCTTTTTTTGTAATATTCACTAATTTGTTGGGTTTTTTAGAGTCCACATATAAGTGATATTATATAGTATTTGTCTTTCTCTGTCTGACTTATTTCATTTAACATAATGCCCTCCAAGTCCATCCACGTTGCTGCAAATAGCAAAATTTCATTCTTTTTATGGCTGAGTAATATTCCATTGTGTATATATACACCATCTTTATTCATTCATCTGTTGACGGACACTTAGGTTACTTCCATATCTTGGCAATTATAAATAGTGCTGCTATAAACATTGGGGTGCGTGTATCTTTTTGAATTAGTGTTTTTGGGTTTTTTAATATATACTCACAGGAGTGGCATTGCTGGGTCTTATGGTAGCTATACTTTTAGTTTTTTGAGAAACCTCCATACTGTTTTCCACAGGCAGAAGCCATGGGTTTGTTTCCTGGTTCTGCAAGGAACTAGCTGTGTGATCTTTGGACTAGTCCTGACCCTTTCTGGGCCTGTTTTCAACCTGTAACAAGGGAGGGTGGGGCCCACTGGTATCTCAAGTCTCTATGATTCTGATGAGGAAGCATCTAGAAACACAACTCCCTGGCCAGCCCCACCTCAGTCCTCTTTCCCCTCAGTCCAAATATTTAACCACCTCCTGCATGGCTCCCTGGATGACTCAAAGTGTCCCAAATCTAGGCCAGCATCTTCCTCTGGGGCCCCTGCTTCTTCCTTTGGTTAATGATATGTTTCTGGTCTCTAACAAGACACCTCCAAGTTATTCTGGACCCCTTCCTCTGCCTCCCTCCTACCCCACCTCCCTCAGCCAGTCCCTCTGTGGCTGCTCTGTCATAACTGGGCCTCCACCACCATCTCCACTATTTCTTTGATTCATTTCTTGTTCCACTGGAGGGAGGGAATAACTCAATTTCCCTCCATAAACCTGCCTTTCTTTCTATGTCCCCAGTCTCAATATCATTGTAAACTCAAGACCTGCAAGCCCTGTTTGGATCCCTCTGTCTTTCTTGTCCCTCAAACACAATCAGTCATTAAGTCCCGCCAATTCTATCTCACAAATATCATCTAAACCCTTTCTGTCCATCCCTAAAGACACTGACCTGGTCCAAGCCACCACTACTGCCTTGACCACTGAAAATCCCTCAGGATCTATCTCCCTGCCTCCCCCTAAGCTGAACGCTCCATGCAGAGTGATCCTTCTAAAGCACACATCCAATCATGCACGCTGGCCTGAAACCCCCAGTGACCCTCCACTGCCCTCAGAGTAAAGGTCACGCTGCACAGTGGGGCATGGCCACCAAGTCCTCCCCACGAAGGTGGTCTTCATTCCTGCTGCCTCTGAGCCCACACTGGCGACTTTCAGTTCAGACTTGACACTCTCTCATACCTGGGCCTTTGCACATACGGGCCCTCATCCCCGGAACGACATTTCCCACGCCCCTCCGCCTTTGTCTGCCTAAGATGTTCCCCGGCACTCAGCTCCATTTCCTCTCCTCTGGGAAACCTTCCTCCACATTCCTCCAAAGTGGGTCAGGTGCCTCCTTAGGGCTCCCTCAGCCCCACCGAGTCCCCACACTGGTCCCACTGTATTGTACCTTCTGCTTGGGTACCCTGCAGACTGCGTTGAGCTCGAGAGCAGGGGCCTGCCTTTAATCTCTGTATGTCCGGAGCCAGGGTACAGAGTAGTGCCCTACAGATGCTTGTGAAAGGTGTGTGTGTGTGTGTGTGTGTGTGTGTGTGTGTGTATTAGAAACGGGGGTGCGGAGGTGAATGTTTTCATTCTCTCTTCCCATCTACGACCATCCTAATGCAATCCCTCTTGGGCTGGAAAGCTGGTGTGCAGCGTGGTGTGGGGGATGGGACTTACCCATGGGCATGAGCGCCATGACCAGCTTGGGGTAGGCAATGTTGGAGCATCCCACGCGGGCCCCGCAGATTCTTTGGCAGATGTCAGGGTCCACGCAGCCCACTTCATCTGCGGAAGAAGTGATGGCAGTCAGAGCTAAACCATCCCGTGCCTTCTCTGGCTGGCCCAGTACCTGCTTTCTGACCCCATAGGAAAGTGTTCACGGGTGAGTGGCGGGAGTCAGCGTCTAGAGGGTCAAAGGGCAGGTGGAGGTTGGGTCCTGGGATTTCAGAGTGTCTGGTAGACTTCTCAACCACATACTACCCTGCAAAACCTGATAGACCCCTCTGGGTTTTAGGCCTTATATCTTAATAAAAGGCAAATATCCTTGCAAGGCACCATGAATGCCTCAATTGGTCTTTCCTTTATAGAGAGAAAGCAGGATGTTAAAATGACATTCAGATACAAATTTCTTCTACTGATACACATACTGTATGTTTGGCCCACAAAGCCTAACGAACTTACTATGTGTTCTTTTTTTATATATAAATTTATTTATTTAGTTAGTTTTGGCTGCGCTGGGTCTTCGTTGCTGCGCGCAGGCTTTCTTTTTAGTTGCGGGTGAGCAGGGGCTAATCTTCGTTGCGGTGCGTGAGCGTCTCGTTGTGGTGGCTTCTCCTGTTGCGGAGCACGGGCTCTAGGCGCGTGGGCTTCAGTAGTTGTGGCACGCGGGCTCAGTAGCTGTGGCTCACGGGCTCAGTAATTGTGGCGCATGGGCTTAGTTGCTCGGTGGCATGTGGGGTCTTCCCAGACCAGGGCTCGAACCCGTGTCCCCTGCATTGGCAGGTGGATTCTTAACCACTGCGCAGCCAGGGAAGCCCTTACTATGTGTTCTTAATAGAAAGTGTGTGGCCCTTGCTCTGGGCCAACTTTGCCCGGAGGGAGACTAGCTCTTACCTGGGTACAGGGCCCGGCTGATCATGCCAGGCATGACGATAAAGAACATGGGAAGGATCTTCAGGTAGCCCCCCAGCACGGAGCCCCCCTTGGCGTGGGACAGACTCTTGGCGGAGAGAGACCTCTGCACAATGACCTGAAAAGACAGCAGCGCAGGAGCGCCAGTCGGGCCTGCTCGGGTTCCGCTCGGCTCCTGCGAGCCCCAGCGTGGGGACGGTGCCCCATACCTGTTCCCGAACCAGTCCCAGCCCTCTGTGCATCCACATGCCCAGTTTGCCCTCAGGAGCCACCCCAGTTTGTGGTGGGCTGGGCCAAGCTCGGTTAGGGCATCACCTGGTCGGTGCACCAGCACCACGTGGCCAGCACCGTGAGCCCGAAAATGAGGCCTGGCCAAGGGATGTCCCCGCTCACAGGGTCCCGGAGCATGTGGAAGGCGTCGGGCCGGGGGAGGTGACAGGTGGTGTTGGGGACTGTGACATTAGGGATGGCCTGCCTGTACCTCTGCTCCAGGCCTGGGTACCAGCCCACCTCTTGAAAGCCTGCAGGGAGAGACCACTGCGAGTGAAACAGCCCTGAGGCCCCACTGGGTCTGTCGCATGCCCCAGCTCGCTGGATCCCAGTCATGTGTGGGACCCCTGAGCTCGGAACTCGTATGGGACTTGGGAATGAGAGGTGGAGTGGCACTCAGGCTCAAGAGCCCTGTTGTGGAGTAGAGAGAATCCTGCTGTTGGGTGCCCTGGCCTGGAGCCGGAACATGGCTCTGTGCTCTGCAAAGTTCTGATCAGACCGTGGTGGTGACAGCCAGAGAGAGATCAGAGAGGAGTTGACAGGGGAGGGTGGGATGTATTCAGGACTCTTCCTTACCCAGAAACATGAGGACCAGGGCTCCCCCCACCATGATCACCGTCTGCAGAGTGTCTGTGTAGATCACGGCCGTGAGGCCCCCTGGGGACCCAAGGAGAGGGGTCATCAGCACCAGCAGGGGTTCCTCTCAGGGTGCCCGCCCTGTGCTGGGCCGCACTGGGGAGACCAGAGAACACATGGAGCCCTCAGCGGATGGGCTCTGGCCACTGCCTTCCCCGCCCCTCGTGCTCCATGGGCCCGCCCAGAAGGCAGAGGCTGGTACAGCCACAGGCCCTCAGGTCCCTCTCCTTCTGTCCCGACGGCCTCTGGCTGTTGTTTGGTAATATCCCAAGTCTTTTCCTTTCCTGTGCTGTTAGCTCCACCGGGAGGCCTGCCTCCCTCCCCACCCCAATGCCCATTTAAGCTCCCCCATCTTTCCAGGCCACCTCAGCCAGGAGGAAGTCTGCCGGAGCCTGTGTCCCGGGAGCCCAGGCCTCTGTGAGGGGCTCTGCAGGAGACGGGAGAAGGCATGCTTGTGGCTCTTGTCTGGAGTAGCCCGTGGTGACTCTAGTCCGGGTCACAGTCCCCCAACCTCCACCCTATTCCCTGCTGTTGGTCTTCCTCTGTATCTCCTTCCCTGGCTCTCTCTCGGGATGGCTCTGTTTCCTCCTGTTTCTGCCCTTCCTGTCTCCCCTTTTCTCTTTCCCACGTGCACAGTGTCTGTGATGCACTGAGTCTTTCCGCCTTTTCCTCTGACTCTGCATCTCTGTCTGCCTTTCTCTTTGTTCCCTCCAGTTTCTCTTTCTCACTCTCCCGGTCAGTTTTCACTCTGTCCTCCCTGGACCTCTGTGTCCCTGTCATCCGGCGCTTCCCTCTCCACCTGTCCCTGTCTCTGCTCCTGGCACCTGCACCCGACGTGACCTCCCCTCGGCCCTACCTGTGATGGTATAGACGGCCGTCACCACCAGCAGGATCACAGTGGAGAGGTAAAGGTTCCAGCCCAAAGCCATCTGGATGAAGAGGGCTCCAGAGAAGATGTCAGTCTGCAGAGACAGCGACCCAGGAGTCCAGGTCACCCAAGGCCCTCTGTGTGGTCACCAGTGTACGTCACCTTCCTGCTCAGCAATACCAGGTTCTGTCGGCCCTCATGGTGTGATGAAGATGAGCCTTACGTGCTGTGCTCAGGAGGATGGGCTTGGCCTACAAACACTGAGGAGCCGTGGAGACTGTAAAGCAGAGGAGCACCGCGGACAACTCTGAGCCTGAGAACCGTGTGATCTGGCAGCACTGCCAAGGTCATGTGCTGGCGGGGAAGGGGTGAAGTGGCACACTGAGGAAGTGAGACAGGAGCTGGGGTCGGGGGGTGGGGGGAAGAGACCACTGGGGGAGAAGGTGGGAACCTAGGGGGTCCCTGACGGCTCCCTGAAGGAGCACTGACCCACTCAGCTGCCAGATGGGCCCGCGGCTGACCTGACGGGCAGGCGCCCCAGTGCAGATGACACAGGTCCTGGATACCCACATGTTTGGGTTTATTGGAGGACTTGGGGTCGCAGCCTTTGCCTGAGCTGATTTAGGGTTATTTACAAGCATTGATGGAACAAGAAGCTGTAATATTTCCAGCCCTGGACCAACCTGAATGCTTCAGTTCCCTTCAGGGCATGCTTGCTGGTCCCTTTACATGAGTGTTTTGTGACCCATGACAAGGACTACTACGTGACAAAGCCTCAGGAGGCCTCAGCTGGGCCACAGAACCCAAACGTTAGTTCCAGCCCCAGAGCTAGTGCTCTGTGTGGACCTGGGCAAATCGTTTGACCTGGGTCTGTCTTCTGAGTTTAGGTCAACAGAGGAAGAATAGGCCCTTTCTAATGGTAACATTCTAGGCAATTAATGCTCTGTGCTGAATGAAGCCTTAATTAATGGGAAGATAAATGAGTGAACGAATTCTAGATTGTGACTTCTTTGGATAGAGGGACTCTCATTCACTCAACAAACATTTATCATTCATCTCTAATTACCCTACTGCTGAGGGGGAGCATGTGAGGAAGGGGTGTGGATTTTTTTTGGGGGGGGGTACATGGGCCTCTCACTGTTGTGGCCTCTCCCGTTGCGGAGCACAGGCTCAGGACGTGCAGGCTCAGTGACCATGGCTCACGGGCCCAGCCGCTCCACGGCATGTGGGATCTTCCCGGACCGGGGCACGAACCCGTGTCCCCTGCATCGGCAGGTGGACTCCCAGCCACTGAGCCACCAGGGAAGCCCAGGGGTGTGGATTTATCCTCCCTTTCTATTATCCTTCCTCTTCTAACCATCCATGCATTCATCCATCCATCCAGCCAGCCAGCAACAGGCTGTGCCCTCTCCTAAGCATTTTCAGAGAGACATGATGGCCACACGGGAGCAGGTACTCACTGAAATCTTGGTGAAGATGTAGAGGATGAGAGAAAGGACAGACATATACACCTGGATCCTCTGGCCCCCGAATCGCTTCTTCAGGTACTGTGGCATTGTGACCACACCGGCTGCGATGTACACGGGGACGAAGATCCAGCCGAGGGCCAGAAGCAGCCAGGTTGCCTGGGAGGGTGGGGAGAAAAAGGGATCCATGTTCTAGATGCAGATGGAGGGGTGGTCTGTGCAGAGGAGAGGCCTGGGCAGGGAGGTAAGGGACCAGAGGCCTGATCTCAGTCCTGTGTGACCTCTGATGAGGTCCTCCAGGCTTTGGTTTCCTCATCTGTAAAATGGGTTCTCGATTCACCATGCATCTTCCCCAAGCACCTCTGAGGTTCCTCTTAGCACTAAAGCCGGGGATGGGGTGGGGTGGGGTGGGTTAAGACCCCCTTTATCCATGAGAATCCTCCAGGCCAACTTCCTTACATTCCACTCAAAGCCACCCACAGCAAGGCCTCCAGCGGCCCCTGTCCCAGCCAGGCCGATGAACAGACCGCTGCCCACATTGCTGGACATCAGAGATGCTCCGATCTGCAAGGCACAAGTGGGGCCAAGGGTCAGAGGTCAGCTTTCATTTGAATCGATCTGTAGTCAGGACTATGGGCTTCAGAATCCGGGAAAGAGGCAGAGAGAGAGCAGAACCTGAACTCAGGGAACGTGAGATCAGAGGGAGGAGATGCAGTGGGGGAGCAATGAGAAGAGGAATGGAACTGCTATTTATTAGGCACTTACTGTATACCAGGCAATGTGCTAGGCATTTTATAGGCACTAATACACTTAATCTCCACAGATATTTGGAGGGGTGGGTATTAATCTTTCCACTTTACAGAGGAAGGAGTTAATGTTAGGAGAAATGAAGTCACTGGCTCCAGGCCACCCAGTGAGGGAGAGGCAAAGTGGAAAAGAACAAAAGCCATGGGAAGCAGCGTCCATGTAGGGAGGATAAAGCTCTGCTCTGGGGCCATGGATCTAAGGGCATCCAGAGAGAAGGAAGCTGAAGGGAGAAGGGGAGTCCCCCACGAGAGGGATGGGGGAGGCCCTCTGCCACCCCGTTCCGGCAGGTCCCAGGGCAGGGCCAGGCAGTGGGAGGAGCCACGGGGTTGAGCACAGCCCAGGCCACGCCCCCAGTTAATTTTTCTCCAGGAGGCAGCTAACTACTCTGAGGCAACAGGAGGCAATGCCAGTTACATAGATGATGTCCACAGTCACAGCCGTCAGTACTTGAACGGCATGGCCAAGTGCCTGCTTCTGTTCTAAATATATTAACTCACCAACTCCTCACGACAACCCCATGAGGAAAGTTCTGCCATTATCCCCATTCTACTCGGGGAAACTGAGGCACTGGCAAATAACTCGCTCAAGTTCCAGAACTGATAAGTGAGAGTCGAAATGAGGGTTGTGACTCTGGCCACCTGCCTCCTGTAACCACTGCTTGATGGGTGCTAGGTCTTAGTAAGCCTCCATTAGCGTTATCTGTTGTTGTTAGATGGGAGCTGGAGGGGAAGAGCCAGTCTTGTACCCTGTGTCACCTTAATAAAATTGTGGGGCTGGGCAGTAGAAAGTGAGAAGAAGGGAAAAGCACCGGGACGTTCAGAGACGAGGCGGCACAGTGCAAAGGCACAGAGATAACGATCGGCCTGATGTTCCTGCGGACTTTCAGCCACCCCTCCGCCCCCGCGTGCACACAACACGTACACACACACTCCCTCCCTCTCTTAGGGGGTCCTGGGGATGCTGCAGGCTGGGCTGGGTCACTCAGTCACAGCAGAGAGCACTGGGCCTCCTACTGTGGGAGGAAAGGCTCCCCAGGCTGCTCTCGAGGACCCTGCCCAGGGCTCCCAGTGCCTCACTCAAGGAGCCATCAACAAGGTCGGCAGGGGACCCCACGGGCCCCTCTGAGACGGGGATGCTGCTGCGCCTTCTGCTGTCAGCCCCCAACCACACTCCCCTCGGGCCACAGGGAGGGGAACGAGGCACCTTTCAGGACTGGCTGAGTAGGGAAGCGCGCAAAGCTATCGGACGGTCATCACAGACACCAGACGCACACATCCCAGCGGGGCAGTGGGACTGAGAGTCCCTTACCTGCAGCTGGTTCTGCCCCGGCCTTGGGCTGAAGCTGCTCTCAGTGTAGGCGGCTCAGCTCACAGCCCCGTCCCCCTGACGAGGGCACCACCACATCCTGGTGTTGCAGCCACTGCGCCACCAGGGAAGCCCTGTCATGCTACTTTTGTCCTCGCCTCTCCCTGTCCCAGACACCTGAACCTTCCAGAGAGCCCTGCAGGCTTCCTGGGTTCCTCTGCTCTTTGGTGAGCCTGTCGCCAGCGGTGGGCAGCAAGGGTGGCGAGAACAAAGACAGGGTTGTGCAGAGGGCCGGTGGTGTGTGGGTGCGTGTGCATGTGTACACACACACACCACATGTGAGGTGTGCGTGCCTGGGCTTGTGCCAGCTTCAGGGGCCCCTGGGGCTGAGGACTCCGCTGTTAGTTTGGAAGCAGGCCTCACCTTCCTCCGTCCTATTTCAGGAAGAGGAAGTTAGCTTTGAGGACCAAAAGGAACAAGTGGGGAGGCCTGAGGGGCAGGACTGGGATTCAAAAGATCAGGTCCTGTGGGGGTGGGATTTTACCTCTAGGATTTCCCTCACTTAACTGCTCTTCAGTATTTATGTGTCACTTTCCCAAGAAAATCTTTCCTAATCCCACTTCCACTGTCTGGAGGTTAGAGGCCTCCCCCAGACATTCACAGGCCCCATGCTGCCCTCCAGCTCGACAGCCATCAGGTTGTTTATGAGTCTGTCTACCCCGCTCAGCCTTGAGCTCCTCTGGGACGGGAACACTCTGCGTGGGCTCTGTAGGTCCAGTGTCCGGCGTGGGACCCACACTTAGGAGGCGCCCAGGGCACGCAGGTCCCAGCTGTGGGTTTGGAAGGTCTCTCAGGTTGCCTGGTGCCTCTGGACCAGAGAGAAGGAGCCCAGAGCCAGGAACCCCCTTGGGGGCTGTAGCCTTGGTCCAGGCAGGAGTAGGTGAGGTGGGAGCTGGGAGATGGGGGGAGGGGCGGGAGGAGGGTCGACTCACTGGCCACCAGCTTATGGACCTTCCCGCCAGGAAGTAGCCGCCAATGGTCCCTCGGCTGGCACGGATGGACGACTGGAAAGGAAATGGCAAGAGTGAGGATTTCCCGAGCCTCCCCCAGGCTCTGCCCTCTGCCCCAGATTCCCTGCCCCTCGAGGCAGGCACTGTGGGAACACAGGGGGTGGGAACTGAGGCTGAAGCGTTCACCATCTTTAAGCTACGTGGCTTTGGGGGTGTCAGCTCCCCTCTCTGGGCCTCCCTGCTCATCACCCAGGGCTGGTGTGAAGAGCAAAGGAGCTAATGGTGCGTGTGTGTGTGTGTGTGTGTGTGTGTGTGTGTGTGTGTGTGTGTGAGTGAAACACCCTCATGAATGTACGGTGCTGTTCATGAGCACAGATTATTGCCATTGTGCACTCTTGTGTCCTATCCTGCTCCCCTGTCCCCGTCCAAACGTAGCTTTAGGAAATGAGTTGGGGTCTCATCCTCAGGCTACCGTGGCAGGGAGACTGCCTTGTCCCCTCCGCCCAGCCGGACTCCCACTCGGGGGACTGGGAGGTTGCAAAGCACTCGGGCCCCAGACAGAGGCAGGACTCTTCTGGGGGCCGTCTCCTGCTCCGGCCTGATGTCAGACCACACCACTGAGGTCCACCCATGACCCTGGAGCAAACCCTCTCCTGCACTGGGAGGTGGTCAGTAGTGGCCTATTTGAGGAATTACTCTGAAGACTGAAAGGGGGTGAGGAAGGAAAGAACTTTCTCTCGGATGCAGGGGGTGAGTACAGGGCAGCGGGTTAAAGCCCTTATTGGATGCCGAAGCCAGGCATCTGATTGGGTCTGCAGACAAGAGAAATACCTGAAGGAGGGGGAGGGAGAGGGAAGTTGAAAGAAGCTTCTCTTCCCCCAAGAGAAAGTGACAGATTAGTCACTAGGGCATGACTTGTGTGCAGGGCTTGCTGCTTGTCAAGCCTTTGCTTGGACTTTCCTGTGCCACCTCTGGTCCTTGGGGAGGACAGATGAACAGAAACAGTTTACGTTACAGGTGAGGAAACGGAGGTCCCCTAATGGGAAGCAACTTGTCCAGAGTCACAGGGGAGTTTCTGCTTTTCATGGCTGTCCACCTCCCAGGAGCCAGCGAGCCTCTGTTTGCCCATCTCTTCCTCACACACCCTGGGAAGCAGGGACAGTTCATCCCACTTTACAGATGGGGAGACTGAGGCCAGAGATGGTTCTTGACCTCGCCGCAGCCTCATAAGTGGCCACCTGGGGCTCAGATCACTCTGTGCCTCACAGTGGAGTCTGAAGGCGCTGGCATTTCCCTCGAATGCTGCAGAGATAACGGCGGTCATTTATTGCTGCAGGCTGTGTGCTGGGCGTTGTGCCAGATCCTTAAATGTGTCACGCTCCTAAATGGTCAGGGTCGCTTTACCTCATAGACCTTTATACTCTCATTGCCCAGATAAGAAAACTAAGGCTCCGTATGTTCCCAGGGCCATGCGGCCCTACCTGTTGTAGTTGACATCTGAACTCAGAGCTCCCCGACCTCCAAGCCTGGCGCCCGTCCAGGGCATTGAGGCTCTGGTGAGCAGTGGAGAACAGAAGCATGTTGGGATTCGCCTGGCTCCCTTCCCGTGAGACGCGCAGCCCAGCTCCTTTAGAAAGCACTGCTCCTTGCCAAGGCACCATCTGGTGGAAGGTGTAGTGGGTCCAGGAGTCAAGCATTCGCATAGCTGGGGATGCTGGCATGTGGAAGAGGGCAGGAATGGGATGCGGGGAGGCCAGGGATGCATGGGGCCAAAGGAGCAGATGCACAGGGACAGGGAGTCGGGCGGGAGATGGGGCCTCGCTGTGTGAGCTCTGCCAGGTCATACCCCTCTCTGGGCCTCAGTTGCCCATCTCTAAAAGGGAGGGTTTGGAGAGGATGATCCCTTAAGGTCCTTCCACATCAGCCCCTGTGCTTCCTGGACACGCCTTCCTTCTGCCCACCCCTGCCCCCAGCTCCATGACCAGCCATCGAAGAGAGCCTGCCTTTGCCTCCCCTGCCCACCCCCAACCTCCGCGCTACTCACCCAGATCCCCACGCCAATGACAAAGACAAAGTAGACGACCAGGACCGCAATGTCGTAGGCATGCAGGCTGCCTCCAGGACCCGGTGCTGAGCGTGGAACTGTCGCAGTGCTGACCCCATTTCCCGAAGCTCCAGGCCCCATTGCTGCCGGCTCCACGCTCATCTACTAGTCAGTCACCACCAGGCTGGACTTTGAGGCACTCCTGGTTTCATTCCTTTCCTTTAATGATTAAACAGCCCCAAGCGCCACTGGCCAATGAGAAAGCTCTGAGCCCCACTGGCACATAAAGTCCTGGCCCGCCTTTTCCCCTTACTGCCAGCTCCGTCTCCTGCAGGCCTCCCTCCCTTTCCCTGACCCCACTACACACACAGTTGCACGCTCACACACACATGCACATGTACAAGTGCACGCGTGCACGCTCCCATCCCGGAGAGGAGCAGGAACAGGAGGGAGAGAAGAAGGAAAGGAGCAGAGTCCTGGCAGCCTGGACTGGGAGGGACTTCAGAGTCAAGGCGCTCGAGCTCCTGCTTGTGTGGAGGAGAGACTGAGGCCCAGGGAGGAGAGGGATGCAGGGAAGTAAAGGCAGAGCTGGGCCTGTAGTCGGGGTTTTTGTTTTTTTTTTTTTGCGGTACGCGGGCCTCTCACTGTTGTGGCCTCTCCCGTTGTGGAGCACAGCCTCCGGCCGCGCAGGCTCAGCGGCCATGGCTCACGGGCCCAGCCACTCCGTGGCATGTGGGATCTTCCCGGACCGGGGCACGAACCCATATCCCCTGCATCGGCAGGCGGACTCTCAACCACTGCGCCACCAGGGAAGCCCGGGACATTTTCTGTCTCAGTTTTGGCTGAGGTCAAATGGGTGAGGACAATATAACAGGTGCCTAGTACCCTTACCCCAATTCTAAAAGTGAGTCAGGACACTCAGGGAGCCATGCCACAGAGGCCGTGGCAATGGCTAAGCCCAGGGCCCCTGCTGCCCCAGCTGACCCCGTAGGTATTGAACACTCGCCCTGAAATCTCAGTTGCCTGGCTGCTCTCGGCCAGTGACTGAGCCCAGCTAATGCCGTGCATGCCCTTTCCTGCAGGACATGTGGCTCACATAACGGGCATTTTTGGCTGGAGGACACTCCTTGGACCAGCCGAAACTTTCTTAGTACTGCACTAGATCCCCGTGGCGATTGCTTTACAAAAAGTTGTTGGAGTGACCTGGCGACCCCTCTTCTTCCCCATCTGCAGGGTGAGGAGGTGGCCCCTTTCACCCTCTAGTGAAGCCAAGAGAGAAGAGTGTCAGAGGGTCTATGGCAGAATTTCATGTGTGTCCAAGGGCCTGGTGACTTAAGGAAAACAATGGTCTAGGCTGGGGACATCTCAAAAGGGGGAGTGACACCAGCAGAGGGTTAGGCCAAGGTCTGGAGCATGGAAGCTGGACAGCACCCGTCGGGAGGCTGCACAGAACGTTCCTCCTCTGGCACACGAGACTAGGGTGTTTAAGGCCCTGGCTGCACTGCCCTTGCCCTTCCTGCTGCTGCTGGGGGGCCACTGACCAAGAGATCATTTCTTGCCTCCCCTCCTCTCCTCTGGCTGCTCCTTGCTGCCTTTCCTGGTGCCCAGGCTGGGGGCCATGTGCTCCCCTTCACAGCACTGACCACACTGGGCTGTTCCTGGTTGTGTCCGCAGCTAGGGCGGCAGTGGCTCTAATGGGTCCCTGTGAGCTAAGACCCCGAGCAGCCTGGAGGCTCCCCGAGGATTCGGGGAAAGGACGGCGGGAGGGTGGTGAGCGCCTGACATCGGCTGTCTTCTCTGCAGACGTCACTTTTATGAGGAACCAGAGCTCAATCCAAGAGCAAACAGCAGAGCCCGAGTGGCAGAAGGCAGCAGTGGCGCAGAGGAAACAGGTGTGGCCCGGGAGCCAGAGAGCTTTGCTTCTGCCACCAGCACGTTGGTGACCCCTAATGCATGGGTGCACGTGGCACACATCACTGGGAGTGCCTTTCCTCACCTGTGAAATGAGATGTCTGGAATCGCTTGTAATGACCTTGGAGCGCTAAAGTGCTACAAAGGAAATTATTGGCCTGGTCTCCTCTAGCCTTTTGGTTCTAAGAGTCCTGGGGGAAGTGGGATCCAGCTGGAGCTGTGATTGAAAAGTGGGAGAACAGTGAGGGCTCAGGTCCATAGCTTTAGGCCAGGCACCCCTGGACCCTGCCCGGCCCTGGTACTCATGAGTTGTGCTCTCAGCCTCCGTGTCCTTGTATGTGGAGAGGGGATAACGAAGTTCACCTCACAGAAGCATCCTGAGGTATAAAGCCTGAGGAGTGTGTGCAAGGCACAGAGCCCTCGGCCGGCGCAGGGCTGCTCTGTCACGAGCGCTGTTGCTGGCACTGTGCTCTGTGTGGCGAGATGGCTCTGTGGGACTCTGCCCTGGTGTTCACCTAGAGCGGTCAGGCCCCTGGAGATGTCCTTGGTCCTGACAAATTCCAGAGCCCCAAGAGGCCCCAAGTGGGGTCGGGGGATGGCTTCATGGCTGAGCCACTGCCACCCACCTTGTCACGTCCTTCTAAGAAAGCAAAGCCTGCAGCCACCCAAGCAAGGCTCTGGAGCGCTCACCAGCGAGCGTCCGGATCTTGCTGGGGAGAGACTAAACAGGCGGCGAGTTCTCTGCCACCTCACGTGAGAAACAGGCCAAGGAGATTCAGAGGATCCTGGGATTAGCAACTGGAAGCAGAGCCTGGGACCTGGGCTCATGCTCCTTCCACCGGCCCGTTCCCGCCCCCGCCATGTCCTTTCCTGGATTCTGGGTTACTTGGTACCCACGGTTGCCTGTCCCCCCTCCATTATAACTCCTACCAACTGTGCTACAATTGCTTGTATGTTCCCCCTGCTAGTGGCGGACTCCTGGAAAGCAGGGGCTCTATCGGGTTCACTTCTGTCTCTAGCACATGGCACAGGGCCTGGCACACCGTAGATCCTCATTACATTTTCATCAAATAAACGAATGAATGCATATTACATCTGTTTCTTCTTTTCCCATGCAAGCTCTTCATAAACTCAAAAACTCAAAACCATGCCAGTTGTCACTAGCCACACCACATATATCAGCTAGGGTTAAGTTTGGCTGTGATATACATGCAACTTAAAAGTTGCTTAAATAAGAAAGTTTTTTTCACGTTCATGTCTAGAGATACACAAAACAGGACCGGTAAGGTGGTTCATAATTTTTTAAGAGACCTCAACTCCTTTTTTCTTGCTGTTCTACCATCTTCCATCTCATTGTTTAAAATGGAATTCCAGCCATTGCCTCTGTATTCCAACCATTGCCTCTATATTCCAACCATTGCCTCTATATTCCAGTGAACATTTCCTGGAAATGTCACACAACACTTCTGCTAATATCCTGTTGCCCAGAACTTAGTCATGTGATCACACATAGCTACAGGGAAAGACAGGAAATGCTATCATTATTTGGGGTGGCCTGTGCCCTGTCAAGATTCTGGCTTTTTTACTCATTAACAGAGAAGAATGGATGCTGGGGGGACATTAGGAGTCCCAACCATGCCACACTTTATAGTCTAAATGGCACACCCTTCTCTTACTATCTTCACCTACTAGCCCTGCGTGGTACTTGGGAATAAGAGGCATTATCCCCACTTCACGGTTGAAGGAACAGAGGCTCTGAGAAGCAAGTTTTCCCAGGCCACAGAGTGAGTTATGGCAGGGCTGAGATGGGCACCCAAGGTTGCCAGCTACAAGGTTGCTCTTTCCGCTTCATCATCTTGCCCCAGGGCTTCTTGGAAATAGTAGAGCTTGGGCTCCTTCCTCACAATTCCCTCAAGAAGCATCCAGCAGACACCTGCTGTGTGTGCAGAAAGCACCGGATACTCAGAGAGAAACCAGATCCAATCCCTCTTGAGGACCTCATGGTCTGTCTTTACACAAGTCTTAGAATATAGTGTGATGACTGGAGGGTTGCTAGCACAGACAGCTCTCTGACCCCAGAGCCCTGGAAGCCAATACTTCAAGGTGTGTGACGTTCCATTTCAGGTTCTTCCAGCCTACAGTTTTCTGTCTGGAACCAGAGATGGGGTTGGAGAATTCGGGCTGAGTTCAAACCTCAGACAAAGGACATTGGTGTTTATGTTTGATGGGATGTGGTAGCACAGCTAAAAGTGTAGGCTCTGAGATCAGAAAGCGTTACTTCTCTTTTCATGGAAAGCAAGTTACAGTCCTATTTTTCATGTGAGAAAACTGAGGCTCAGCGAGTTCTAGTCCCTGTCCAAGGCAAGTGTGTGTCGGAGCGAGACTTGAGCACAGTCTCCTGATGTCTAAGCTGGACCTCCTCCTGCACGGGGCTTTGGGAGGCTCTCCAGAACACTCCCACTGCTCTAAACCCTGGCTGGGACCCACTACCTGCCAGGCTAGACCAGGCCCCCCCACCTGGATTTTATTCTGCAGCTAGAAGCCTGATCACCTGTAAGGAGCTGTCGGCATCGTGTCTCAACAACTGGAGAGAGGGAGTCTCACCGAGGGAGAGATTTGCCCCTTGGAAGGTGTGTAATGCTTGCTCTGTTAGACTCCACTGCGTGAAGCCAAGACTCTGCTCTGGCGAGTCTGTGGCATTCATCCCTCCTCTCCTTTCTCTGCAGGAATTATCTCTGGAAGTTTACCCACTTCTGTAGGGCTCCTGGCTCCTCTGTATCCTGATGGCGGCAAATGGGATGGGAAAAAAAATTGCCTTTGTATCATGCAGCAAATGGAGGTATACCATATCTCAGTAGCCTCACCGAGCCTGTTAGGTTTCAGGAAAACCATCTGGCTTGTCTTAGGATGGCTTTCTAAGCAGTCACTGACCCCAATTAGGCATTGATCAATAATGATCAATCAATCGATCATCAATTAGTTTTTGTTTTTTAGAAATATTTATTTATTTATTTAATTTTGGCTGCGTTGGGTCTTCATTGCTGCACGGGGGCTTTTCTCTAGCTGCGGTGAGCGGGGGCTACTCTTCATTGTGGTGCACGGGCTTCTCATCGAGGTGGCTTCTCTTGTTGCGGGTTTCAGTAGGTGTGGCTCACGGGCTCTAGAGCGCAGGCTCAGTAGTTGTGGCACACAGGCTTAGTTGCTCCGTGACATGTGGGATCTTCCCGGACCAGGGCTCGAACACCTGTCCCCTGCACTGGCAGGCAGATTCTTAACCACTGCGCCACCAGGGAAGCCCATC